CAGCAGCAACCAGCAACAATCCTCTCATATTTGGCAGCAGCAACAGTAACAGTGAAACAGGAGCAACAATTGTTACTACAGCTGCGCCAGCAGCATCTCAGCCCAAGGAACCGTCGCCTTTTGGCAGCAGCAGCAGCAATAGCAACAGCTTTGCCATCGGCTTTAAATCTCCTGCAACACCAGCAGCTGCAGTAACAGCCGCACCATCCGCGCCAGCAATATTTAGTTTCGGCAAAACTCCAGCCGCTCCTGCAGCTCCTGTCGTATTCGGTAGCTCAACAGCAACAACAACAACAACAGCAGCAACAGCACAGCCTGCATTTAACTTTGGTGGCACAGCAACTGCTACTGATTCTGCTTCTGCCGCTAGTGCAACTACCTCAAATACCAATGCAGTTTCAGCCGCAACACCAGCAGCAAACAACTCGAATATATTTGCCTTTGGCGGTGACAGCAAGCCCACGGTTAAAGCCACGCCTTTTACGCTGCCCAACAAAAGCGACAGCAACAATATATTTAGCTTTGGCGCTGGCGGCGATGGAGCAAAAATGGCAGCAACACCAGCCACTGGAGCAAAAGCTACAGTGCCCAGCGCCTTTAATTTTGGTGGATCAGCTTCTGCTGCACCAGTGGGCGGTGCACCAGCTACAAATGCATTCAGTTTCAGTGCACCAAATAAGTCAACGCCCTTATTCGGAGCCAGCAATGCAACAGAAAGCAAACCATTTACATTTGGTGCCACTGAGAGCACGCAACAGCAGCAGCAGCAACAGCAGCAACAGCAGCAGCAGCAGCAGCAACAGCAGCAACAGCAGCAGCAGCAACAACAGCAACAACAGCAGCAGCAGCAACAACAACAGCAGCAACAGCAGACAACACCAGCAGTGGGCGGCTTTTCATTTTCAGCTGTGATTCCAAAAAGCGAATCTACAAATTTGTTTAAATCGCCATTAGCCGTCGGAGCCGGTGGAGTGAAGCCAAGCTTTAATTTTGGAGGCAACACAACGTTAGGAACAGCAGCAGCAACTCCAGCGGGCGCAGCCACGTCAGGCAACGGCTTTGGTGGCTTTGCGGCACCGGCACCGGCACCGGCAGCAGCACCAGCGCCTTCTGCTGCCAACAATCAGAAACTGTTTACGTTTGGGAGCAGTGCCACTCCCAGCAATGGAGCAAATCAAAGCGGAAACTTGTTCGCCAGCGCAGTGTCCGCTGTACAGAACCAGCAGCAGACTAAGCCTGGTGGCTTTTCTTTTGGCGCTAGCAACGCGGCTAACAGCAGCAACGCAACCAATGGAAATGCCAATGCGCCGTTTGCTTTTGGTGGCATCACATCGCCGCAGGGCAGCGGGGTCAATGCGGCCAATAAACCGTTTACATTTGGCAACCCAGCGCCGTCTATAAATGGCTCAGCGCCTTTTACCTTTGGTAGCGGCGTTAATGCTCCTTCCACGCCGACATCAGCTCCGGGCATGCCTGGCCAGCAGATGAATCGCTTTGCACCGCCCACCACTCCGGAAAACCGACCCATACGACGCGCCACGCGACGGCTGCAAAAGTAGAAATCAACTCGACCGTTGAGATATATCCTGATTAAATTTAGGCCTTCAGTAATGCAATTGATCCATGCATGAAGTTAAGTTATAATCTGCAACGATAGTTAGTCTTTATTAAGTTATTTGGCAAATGAGAAAATAAAAAAAATAAAAATCACAAAAGAATAAATGTGTAAATACGCAAACAAATTGTAGACCATTTCCGCTATTGAGGCTAGGACTTGATACTGGAAATATTTACTCTATGTAATTCTCGTCTTATAAGGTGTGAAGATTTTCCCGATATGCCCATTTTGGGTGCCGTGAATTGGGAATTATATAATATAATATAAGATCCTATGACTTCGGGTCATATTGATAATATATATAATTTCCAGTTATATATAACTATATAAGTGGAAATTACCGGATATTATCAATCCAGTTATATACTTATCCTAATCTACTAAGGGCGTGGGATAATATGTATATATACTTTTCGAGAAAGTGGCATATCTGCATAAATAGTATCCTCCAATGCTTTACAGCTTGAGCTCCGAAATATGACAGTTAAATTCAATTGTGAACCGGAATCTGTTAGGATAAATAATTGATCATTTTTAAATAGCAAAGTAAAATATATTTATAATATAATTTTAATGCTATATTTCTTATCACATGATACAGGATAACATTTAATCGGTCATCAGACAGTAGAGGTCTCCCGAAATTGACCTATTCAAAGAATCTACAAATCCAAAATATGCTCTTTTAATATTTATTGCAATAAAATTGAATATATAAATATTAAAACCATTTAATAAAAAGTGTTAGAGATTTTGAAAACAACAACAATATGGATTTCAGGATCAGCGCTTAGTCGGATATATATTTTATAGAACCCATCGGCTAAAATTTCGGGCATCCCATGTCCTTTCGGACGGCATTGATTAAGTGTGTAAGTTCCTTTTTGCCAGGGCGTTTCCACTTTGTTTTTATATGCTTTGAGGTTTGAGCAATTTTTAAAATTTTCATATATAATATCATTGTAGTGCTGGTCCAAAAACTCTTCAAAGCTAATTGGTGGAATACCATGGGGTAACTTCTTATATTCATTCTCAGATCCACTATCGGAGCTATAGAATGTCGTTTCCAACTGATGCAAAGAAAAGTAATGGGTACAAAAATAGGTCCGTCATTTGTAACCAATTTAAATTAGTAAGGCCCATTGACATTACCATGGTAGTATTGTCTACATCAAATTGCCATTCCCAAATCCCATTTAAAACAGTTTCGCCATGAGAGACTCGGTCGACACGCAGATCAAGTTTTGATTTGCTCTCATCCGTAGAGTTAGAAGCAAGAGACAGAATTGTAGCATCGAAATGGCGCTGTTGGAAAAATGTCTTCAGGTATGCTTATTTTTGTCGTGTATATAAAATACTAGGTTCTTTAGATTTACCTTCCTGGTAGAAGTGGCACATACTGATAACAATATGCTTGCAACTACAATTGTAATCCGCATTTTTGGGATTCGATAAACGTTTCAAATCAAAGTCAATTCGTCATTGCATCGATAAGCTCTTATATAGCTAAGAGCTAGCTGCATGATATAATATTATTAGATCTAGTTTTAGTAGGACGTGTTTATAAAACGGAAATGTGTTATCAAACCATTTCATGTTCTGAGTATCACACGCTAATCTATTGTCTGATCCATCAGCTTTTCCAGATTTCAAATTTCAAATAAAAAAAATTTAGCAATTGTTATAGATTAACACCGAGTTAGAAACACATTTAACATTGATGTAAAAATCCAAAAGCTTGTATAATTTTTCACTTTTATTAAAAGTTTTATATTCATCTCAATCTGCAACTCCATTCCTTTTAAATATTACGTGTTCGTGCGATTTTTGTATGATTTTTTTTTTTTTTTTTGATAACTTAAAATTTGTTTGACAAAAAGTGTTATGTATAAATTTTACTTAAGATTTGTTGTTCTTTTAAAAAAGTAATAACTTTAAATTTAAATTAATTGTAAATTTAAGTGGACGTGTACGTGTGTGTGTCTCTGCGTGTGCAAAATAAAAGTAAGTATTAAAGCAAAATTGTACAAGTTTCTTATGAAACAAGAAACGTATTAAACATTAGAGATAAACACAAAGAGTTAAGTAAATTGTAGATTGTTGTTAATACGCATCAGTAAATAAAAAAATTCTCTTAAGCTGCTGCTTTCATTTGCTGATTATCTATATATATATACATATATATATATATATATATATATATATATATAGTATTGTATATCAGCATACATGTATATATAAAATTGCAAGAGATTCCATAAACAAATAGACAAAACAATTGAGGGGCTTTTACATAGATGAAACTTGCGCGTAATAATTTAAATTTATATTATTATGATTATTATACAATAAACATGCCACATAATATACTAAGTATGTTATTAAGAGTTTAATGTTTTCATATTTTTGTTGTTGTTTTTTCTTTTTTTTTTTTAATTTATGTTTAGTATTATTAATGTAATGCATATTTTCACAATATTTGTTGCTTCTTGTTGTTGTGGATCTAAGGACACACAGCCCAAGCTGATAAAATATCGATTTCTTTACCAAATTTCATTTCCAATTTACTTGAATTTTTGTTTTATAATTTTTGCTCATTTTTGATTAGATATACAAATGTAAATGTAACTAAATTTAACTAATTTGCAGGAGCATTTTATTTGTATTAATTATACTGCTAATGTAGTGGTAGTTTATTTAGTGATTCAGCAACTTATTATAATTATTTATTTTACGTTTCGCTTTTGTGCTACAAATAGAAAATGTTTAACAGAAAATATACAAAACTCAACCTAAAATTTTGATTTACAAATTAGCTGAATAGTTAAAAACAAAATCTATAAACAATTTTAATAATCATATGTATGTGTATTCTATAACATAAAACATAGATTTATATATATATATATATATATGATATAGAGAGTGAAGGTAATATGAATAGTTGAGGGAGTTGGAGGGACCAAACTATATAAATAGCAAACCTACAGTTAACATATATATATATATATATATATATATTTTATTTTATTTATTATTATTTTTTTTTTTTTGTAATAGTAATAGTAAGCTACACAACGCTGCATATGTGTTTATACGTTTAGCTGGATAGCAACTTACTAACATTGCTTGATTGTGTTGGGTTTCTTCGCTTAAGCTTACAAAAAAACTTATCGTATAAATTATATATGTAAATAAATTGTTTTAAGTTAGTTATATACGTCTAGATAATTACATATATATAAATATATATATAGATTGGTACGAAAAATTGTTGCGTTCAGTGTCAGTGTATAAATGAAGCTTTCGTTATGCCTTGGCGGTTTCTCATTCTTATTTTCCAGCCCACAAACTAAGGTTTGTTTTGAAACAAAAATTTCGATTAGTTGTTGAAATGATTTCCTTTTAATTTCTAATTTTAAATATTGTTGTTTGGCTTTCACACGCCTCTCACGCTGTTGCATTGTTTAGCTGTTGCAACTTCACTTTCAGCTCCGCAAATGTTGGCCTTTTCACTGGATTCAAGTCCCACGCCTGACGCATCATCTCGTAAATCTCCGCTGGACAACCTTCGGGTGCTTCCATTTTGTAGCCCACTTCTACATGTTTTACCACGTCCGCCAAGGGCTATAAGAAAAACTCGTGAGTGTTATAAGCAATAGATATTGGTTATATATTCTTACGATTCGGGGATAAGGCACGCGGCCAAAGGAATAGATTTCCCACAGAAGTATACCAAAACTCCACATATCCGATTTATTGGAGAAGCGCTAAGGGAATATACAAATTAATAAAAATATTATTATTGAAAAATATAAATAAATATTAAAAACACGAGAACACTTGTTAAACAGTAAAGTTTTTAAATAACGTAACCCAATAAAATTTTTAAGATTATTCTTTTAGTTGGTTCTGATTTCTTGAGGTCTTAAACTAGATTTTGTTAGCTGTAAAAAACGTACGCCATTTTTGAGTGCCTCGGGAGCTGTCCATTTGATGGGCAGTTTGCCAACGTCAAGATTATAGCATTCCTCGCGTGCCAGACCAAAATCGGATACTTTGGCCACACAATCCTCCGAGATAAGAACATTACGTGCAGCCAAATCTCGATGCACAACCTTTTTGGCTTCCAGATACTCCATGCCAGAGGCCGTGTCGCTGCAATTGCGAAAGAGCATGAAAATAAACCGTATTAAATAAAACGATGATATGCATATATTTATAAGGGGCTTACAATGCGAAGTTGATTTGATCCTTTTTGGTTATGTGCTGTCGTCCACGAGAACGCAAATAATCAACCAGCGATCCTTTGCTCATGTATTCCGTCACCAAGTACAGATGCTTGCTTGTAAAAACAAGGCCAATAAACTTGACTAAATTCTCGTGCTCCAGCGTTCTGTTAATGAGAAATACAATTGTGTTGCTTCAGCACTTATATTTATAGATATAAATATATATAACTTACGTCATTACTGACGCCTCGGCGAGAAACTTTTGCACAGCGCCCTCATCTTTGAGCATCTTGACAGCGACTTTCTCGTTGCGCAATATTCCTAAGAGGACATCGCCGAACTCGCCTTTGCCAATGCTTTCGCGCAGCTGGAGCTCCGATTCAGGTATGACCCAGCCCTTATCCACAAACTCTTTGGAGTTAATGCAGTACTCTTGCTTTCCCAGTTTGGGCAAACACTTAACCAGCTGCGTGCACAGCCCATCCGCATCGGCTTCATAATGCTGTCGATGGACAAAGAGAGAAAGTTTAATAATGCTTATGCCTTGGGGCTGGCTTCAGCATCGACTTACCGCAACCAGTTGTCCCAGGTTCTCAAAGTATTCCTCGTCGTCGATAGTTAACTTATTCTCCAGATATTTGACACGATAATGCTCAACCTTGCCCTGAAAGCAAACGCACAGCGTGTAATCGCCGGGAAAATTGGTCGATTCACGAACTAGGAATAGCCCATCCTCGCGTGGCTGCAGCAGGTGTTCCGCCTCATCGCGCGTTATGCTGCCATGGAACCAGCTAAGGGAAGAAAGCGGAAACACAGAAATGAGAATTGAGAATGATATAGGAGTAAAAACTGAATTCAACTGGATACTGGAGAGTTGAAAAGGTAAATTCGATTTATAGATATATAATACATAATATATGTTAATAATTTATTATGTATATAAGTATTTTTCCAATTCAATTTCCAATTTTCCAATACCAATGATAATAACGCATAAATCATCAGCTCAACTTACGGCATTGCATTCAGTTTGACCTCGCATTTGCGTAGGTGATGCTGCTGCGGTGCGCCCGTAGGCGATAGCGACGCATGATTCATTGCAGTTGTGGAGCTACTTGCCCATTTGTCCATGGTGCCGGCGCCGACGCTGCCGTTTATATCGAAGCTGTGCAGCGACGTGGACATGCCTGTGGTGCTGTTGCCGGTGCTACAGTTGCTGTTGGCGGTGTTGTTGTTGTTAATGCTGTTGCTGGTAGCGCTCCCACTGCCGGCAACTGTTGGCGGCAAGCTGGTGCTGTTGCTGGTCGCGCTGTTGCTGCTGCTCAGGGCTAAGCTTTTTGGCGGCAATACGCCAACCGGCGCTTGTAGCGTCAGCGAGGAGGACATTAGATTATTGCTGGAAGAGCAGTTGGCCAGCATCTGCATATGTTGCTGCTGCTGCTGCTGGGTGACGGCGGCAACGGCTGCTGCCGTTACAGATGCTGCTGCTACTGCCGCCTGTTCGGCCTGGACATGTGTTGCTGCCGCTGCTGCTGCCGTTGCGGGCGCAAACGTTGACAGTATGCTATGTTGCTGCTGTTGCTGCTGTTGTATTGTCGTCGTCTGCTGCTGCTGCTGTTGTGTTTGATTGGGCGATTTTGGCGAATGATTGTTGATTAAATTATGACTATTTAACGCATGCGATGACAGATGCAAAGCCGTTGCGGCTGTTGCTGCTGATGCTGTTTGGTGCTGTAATCGAATGAGAGAAACAAATTTTTGTTTTATCCATTAGTCAGCCAATTCCATTCATTAAATTGATAATGTTTTTATTCCATTTCATTGACTGTATTAATTAATTCATTAAACCTTTACGAGCAATGATTATTATTTTTATTGTTATTATCTATTAGATAAGATAGTTCCGCATGACGCAGGTGTTTTTCTAATTACGATATAAACTATTATCATTTTCGCTTCATATCCTGCTGAACTTACTGAGCCTAGATAATTGAAAATTGAATGCAATCGTTCACTTAGATTTGCCAAGAGCGTATACTTGATATTACTGGGGATTAGAAGGAGCATATATACTTTATGTAAAATACTGAAAGATTCCTGTCTTTTATTATTTAACTATTCTATTCAAGCCTATTCAGCTGAGCCAATAAAACATTTCTTTACATGCTCGTAAAAATTAAAAACAAATCATATTCAATTAAAATTTTCAGGCTTTAAACTTTTGGCCGTCATAACAGATTATTTTTTGTATTTAATGAAATTGATTTATTTCAAATTAGTCGTTCCTAGAAAATTTTAAAGTTCTTTAAAGCTTTCAAAATGTCGAATGTATTCTATTAATATATTCATTTGATTCCAAAAAAAAAGAACAACTGCTTTCGATAGCACGGTGACTGTACTTATTGCATTCTGCTAATGCAATTTGATTAGAAACATACCGCATTGTTCTCCCGATGATGATGATGATGGTGCGGTGGTATGCTTGGCGGCATAATGTGTGGCTGGGATTGACTCAGCTGTTGCTGATGCAGCAGCGTTGCTGCCGCACCAACACCAACACCGACGCCGACGCCGACCACGCCCAGGGAATTGGGCTGTGGTGCGGGCCGTTTATTGTGCCTCAGCGGAGCGGTTGGCGGCATCTGATGCCCAGTCGCCTGTAGATACCATGGATCGCCGGCAGTACCGCCGGACGCGGCTGTCGCGGCGGTGGCAGCAATCGATGGCTGCGAGTAGCCGCGATGATGGCCAACGACCGTTGATTGTCCGTTCTGTGTGGCGGTCGCGTGACTGTTCATATCCTCGACCTTGCAGCTGCCAAGGTTCGGTTCACCTGTTGGCTTTGTCGCCTGTTCGCCTGCCCCAGCTGCTGCTGCTGTTGCTGCTGGCGCTGCTGCTGCTGTTGTTTGGCGTTGTTTCTTTTGTTTCAATTGGATTTGCTGCCGTTTCCCCTGCTTGATACGAACGGCTATCAGCGCCTCGTCGTTTGTCTTAGCTACGCCTGTCTGTGCTTCCTTTGCTGCTTCGCTTGCCTCTTCGTCTGTAAAAATAAGTGGAAATTTCATTTAGCCAATTGATAAAATTTTAGCACTTTTGTGCTAATCTAATCACAACACAGCGCACAGCTCAACTGCCATTGTAAATTTAACTTTGGCACAGACACCATTACACACAACCGCACACACACAATCGTGCATATATAAGGTATACGGTCATTAAATATTCATAAATCATATTAAGTATTCAACTATTCAAGCATTACTCACAAGATTCGCTAATAGGATTTCAAGTTCAAATTCATATTCAAATGCAGCTCACCATGAAGCAAACACATTTTTATTTGCAACCGAGTTACGTATGTCAGACAACGGTCACAACTGGTCACCTAGGGCATTACGAGAGCGTTCCGAAAACGTCCCAGCCAACATCAAAATATCCAAATATTAATTTAGGTTAATTAACGGTCGTTTTTCTTTTCCTATCTTTATCTTTGTTTGTAAATTAAATTCTTTTGATTGTTATTAAGATCAGTATATTACTGGTTTATACTCAAGATATCCAAGATTTTCCCAAGAATAAGCTTATCTGTGCTGAGAGGCATTTACTCGGAAAACTTGATGATCCTACGAGTAACATTAAAACATAATATTTGCATGTATAATTTGAAGTGGTTTGAAAATCGTAGGATTCTAAGTTGTTGCAGTTTTAAGAGTCTAGGTTTTTTTTTCTCTAAGATAAATATCATATATGAAGTAAATGGCCCAATTGCCCAATCTAAAAAGTTTTGTCATTATAAGACCATATGTCCTCAAAACTATAACTACTACTAGCCTAATTGATTGATAAGATTGATAAGTTAAGTATATTATAAAAATTAGTCGATTTATTTATTTAATTTCTTTAAAGTCATTTTGATTTCTATTTAGACACGTGCTAGCTATAATCTTCTCTTAGAGTGTATAAAATATATCACTAAACTACAAGTGTTTATCAGTGTCATTTTTAAGACGTATCATATATGTGCTTAGCTAATCCGATGCACGTTTATTTAATCAGGTGAAACAATTTAACTAAACAGTCAGCAACAATTACGCAAAAAGTTGTTGAACTAAAAAACACACACATGTATATACATATAAATGTATTACAGATATACATTTCTTTCTTTTTCATCCATTTATTTACACTACAAACTTAAATTGCTTGTGGAAACGTTACTCGCATATTTAATGAGCGATAATAAAACGCAGTGGCAACGCCCACGCACGCACAAACAGAGAGTGAGAGAGATGAACAGGAGATCGAGCGGGAGCGAGACGGCGATCAAAGAGCGAGTGAGAAGGTTGGGGAGATTTTGGCAAATGTAAAACATTTGCATGTGACATGCATAATTGAAACTTTTACTGCGCAATTTTGGGAGTGACTTTCAGCTACTGTTCACATTCAGTCGAATACCCTGTACTCATAGTGAGTCATATAAAGGGGAGTTTTAGTTCCTCAGCTGGGTATGTGACATGCAACAAGTAGAAATGAGAGCTGGCTGATATTTACAGTCAAAATTAATATTAATTACTAGAGCTGAGAAAAGGAATAAGCCCAATAAAAATAGGTATACTATTTAAAGATAATTTTGTAGTCCTGTCTAGTGGTATATAATCCCATATAGATATAGGCAAAATGCTTCACATTTAATTATACAATGAATCAGCAATTGACCAGGTTGGAAATTCAAATTCTAAAGGCCTTTTTTCAAATGAACTTCGCTATGAATCCGCAGCGTGACGAAACCTACTCACTTTTAGTTTCCGCCGCAGATCTTAAATATTCTAGTTATACCCGCTCACGAAGTAAGTAGAGTATATTGGTTTTGCACGTCCTCAGTTATTTAAAAATTAGTATATTCAAAGAATACTGAAAACGAGCATTATGCAGTCAATTCTAGTCGACTAAAACAATCGTACTTATTTTATAGTTTTTTATTTGTTATTTCTTGTTAGTTTTGTGGATTCATTTTGTGCGCAATTGTGTTTGAAATTAATTTGGGCTGGGCATTTTTCTGCTGGCATTGCCTAATTTTCAAAGTTTATGTAAATTTCATTGCGGAAACACTTTTTGCATATTTAATTTCTCGATTCTTCTCACTGCGCGGCGCGAGACAGCGATTTATCGTGAGAGAATCATCTATGGATCACTCTACTATGCTTCAATTGTGTGAAAGGGAGGTGCTGCAACTCCAATTGCTGTGGTAAAAGCCTATCGAATTAGCCAAGCTCAGCTTTGACCTTGCCCAATTCACAATAGCAATACGATTAGCATTTTTAAGCCACATCCGTTGTGCCTGAGACTCATGCCATTTGCAATTATTCACACTTTTGTGTACGATTTATCACTCATTTATTATTACTTTTTGATGTTTTCGAAATTATTTTGAGCATGACTTCCCGAAAATAGAGTTTGTAGTCATCAGTCAGCCAGTCAACGTTATCGCCAGTTTCCTGATCGAAAGTCACGCGAATCGATACACAGTGCAATTACCCAAATGATTGCATTGAGCAAGTGTTTGCTCGAACAAGGCAACATTCCCAAGAAAAAGAGAGATACATTATATTGACATTCAGTATATTTATATAGATATAGTTTAGATTAACATTGAATTTGAATCGTTTATACCAATATTAATATCAATTCTTAAATGTCACTTCAGTTAAACTTCTGACAGTATAAATTATTGATACAAACCCTTTACTCATTCTACTCTCTAGTTAAGGTCTTCAAGAGACACTACAGAATTGCACCATCGAATAGATCTTAACAGAAATATATAAGTGTATCTCACCATATCTATAAATTGTTGTAGAGGATAAATTTATACGTAAAAAAAGTCGGCAAGCCTCGACTGGAATAGACTTTTCTGTATCTTACTGTCACACAGGATTAAAACAAATTGATGCTTGACCTCCAGAGTCATCTCGGCCGTAGGATCTGAGAGAGTAGCTTGTCGCATTGCCTTTCAATTTCAATTTTAATAATTTTACGTGCTTCATTGTCATGCATGAGTCAGACTTGAGCATATGCCATATGGATGCTATATGCATATACATATATCTATATGCTGACGCTACAGAGTTGACGAGCAAACAAAGACGAGTCATTGTGAGCCAGAGCTGAATATAATTACATATTTACGTATATGACACACGCATGATAACTGACTTGTGGGTGGGCGGGGTAAATAGTATAATAACTGTCAACAGAGAGATGACAACACCCGCTAGACCTGACATCATGGGCGTATCTACATTAACATTATAACGTGTGCAGGTTCTCAGTTAGACTTTGACTTTCGCTTTGCACTTGAGTCTTGTGCAAGTGCAAATGTCAGTTGAGCTGCTGTTGCTTGAATGCCAATGCGTGTTATCGATATATTTAATTTATCGCATCACTAACTTGGCTGCGCTTCCAGAAGCACGCACGCACGATCTGTAAACATAAGCAAAATATCTCTTGCGAAACTTCAAACAAAAAAGTGATTGTGAAAAGCAACAAAAACAAAGGGCAATTCCAAAACCAAATAATGTTGTTGTTGTACGCGTGTTTACAATACGTATATTGAAAAAAGAAAAACAAAAAAAAAAAGAAGAATGTTAAACACAAGCTAAACTCGCAAAGTTTCATTAAGTGCAATTAAATTGCTTGAAAAATGATCCCAAATATATTTATTAGCTGATATTGTCGTCGCTCAGGCCGGCTGTTGTTATAATTGTATGTTATATATGTATGCATATGTTTATTGTGAGGAGTATTTGCATTGTAATTTTTGAGTGCACAAAATAAACATAAATTGTGAAAGGGTTGGCTTTAAAAATAAAAGTTAATGATCTGCCGGACATGAGCGCAAAAGCATCCTCATAAACATCAATGATTCATGGACAATTGTTTGTTTTATTTATTTGCATACCCTATAGCTATTAAAATGGGTGACAGGGTATTGATTTTTTAGAGACAGCACTAATGATATAAATAGCGGTACATCGACAGATATTTCTAGATAGGCTCAGGGACTTGTCCCATGGATTACGATATCTCTTAAACAGCATCATGAAACGTCTATTAGGTGCGTTGTCTAGGGTATCTCTTAGTTGGCACGTCTGCTGTTGGCGTTTCTCTTTTGTCACACACATACTTCAGTCAGTAATTCGATGTAGGAAGCGTGCTGTGGGTGTGTGTAAAATGCGCAGTATTCCAGCCAATAGACGATTGCTTATATGGCTATATTATCGGTTTAGCTATGGATGAGGTAATTCTCATTAGCTTGCGCAAATTGCCATACGAATAAAGAACTAATTAAGCAAAACTCGAAGCTAACTACGTAAATCAAATGAGGAAGAATGCATTTGCTGTACATAGTAACAAAAGACGACGAATCAATGCCACTGCATATTGACAACTGATTTGATCGATTTTCTTCTATTATCGATAATCGTGGCGATTCGGTAGTGCGAACTTACTTGTAAGAAACACCAACAAAGGGTATGTAAGGGTAAAGAAAGCGAACATGAAATATAAACGGGGTAGCAGGATTCATATCCATACCATATAATTAATAAGAACAATACGTATATATTTATATGTTTGTCCATTGACATATATACTTATATAATTACAATTAAAGTCAGTATACTTCCGCTGAAAAGCATGGAAATGTGCAACAAAAAAGTTATATAAACACCCTTCCAAATTTTCCAATCGGCTGTAGTCAATTCGTTAAATTATTCGAGTCGAATGCCTTTATTGTACCTAGCTCACCCGTATGCCAGGTGAAAGACGTCAATAGCAGACAGCTTAAGCTTAAAGAACAAATATCTCTATACAAATAGAGTTTCAGATGTTGAGCACAAAATGGAAAATATCCTTTTCAAGGGCTCATTCCCATTTAGCCAACTGACTGACTTCACGGCACTGCCTATTTGGTGTCTGGCTCTGGCTCTGCTCGCCTGACATATGCAATTAGTAATTATATAGGAGCTGATGTACACGAGTATCTCTATGTAGGTAAGTTTGCATGTTGCACATATATATGCATGTATGTATGTAAATTGGCTTCCTTCTTCCTGCTGTCTGCTTGCGGTTTCTGCCTCGCCCCGCTTTGCATGCAACACATATGCATGCAAATTGCTGGCCAAAAAGGCAGCAGAGCAACGGACCGCTCCCTCCCTCCCCCGACTGCCGTCTTCCCTCTCTATGTGACTGTGGCACGCCATTCATACCATCATCAGCATGTGGCCGCCGCTCCGTCGGTCCATTCCACTGTTCGTTCCATTCACACCTTTTGTTATGCCTCTCTCAACTGACAGACTAACTGACTAAAGTTACTTACTTGTGTTAGTTTCTTTCCTTCTTTCGTTTCATTATTATTTTTATTTTACACTTTCCAGCTCGAAATAAACAACATTATTTTCTGGTTCCCTTACACCCGCCCATGCTCTCTCCCATCGGTTCCTTCCTTAACTCTGCAGACAATGAGGAAGCAATACAAAAGATTCTCACGTACTTTTTACCTCTACAAGTGCTGAACTGCATATATTTTGCTTTGTTTTTCCTACTCATTCTACTTACTGCCAGCATATACAATTTCGATCCCTCCCAGTTGCTGTTGCGAGTGCCCCTGTGGGGCATTCAGTCAGTTATTTAGCTGTTTCTTCTTCCCTACCAGCTTACGAAATCAATTCGAATTTTCTCGGACTACTCTACTAGTATTAGTATTAGTATTACTATTAATATATTAGTATAAGTAATTTTTATGATTTTATAGATTAAGGAATTGAGCCTATGAATATTAAAAATTTCCAATTTTTTAAACGAATATTACATACTTATATATATATTATTATATATAATCCAATCAGATTGAGGGCTTTTCCTTTGTGAGAAATACATTTCGCATTCCATTCACTTTGAAATATTTTTGCAAAAATCTTCATTTTCTGGCCAAAAAAAAAAAAAACATGTTGGTTTATTGCCTCATCGACGAGTCGGTCAGCTCCCTGGATTCGGCAACATCTTGCAATTGGACACTAACTGCTATGGTTTTGTTAAATCCAAAACTCAAAACCCAACATCAATGTCAACCGAAATAAGGCGCTGAATGTGTAGTTGGCTAGTTGTTGGCTTAGCTCTTGTCTGGTTTCGATGTTTGATGATTTACCAAGCGCAACGATGGTAACTTTATATCTTTATATGCAGTACAGCACTTGCGACATTGAGCACAGGGCTGTTTTGTTTGGTTTTTTTTTTGGCATGATATAAAGAAACACAGCTGTTACATTGCGCTTTAAGAAATTTCAATGCAAGGCGAAAAACAACAGCACATATATCAGAGAGGAATAACCACACAAACCGCAAACATAATATACATTTGTTCGTCAGCTGGCTAAGTTATTGATTAAGTTTCGCTTAAGACACTAACAGGATCTGTACAATAGCCAGGAATATGAGCCATGATACGTGTTGCTGAGGTGTTTAAGCTGCCTAGTTTATAAGTTGTTAATGTTAGATTTCATTAACGGGAGCTGCTCCTCCGTTACATCGTTATGTTACGCTATTAACAGCACTATCCGCTGTTAATAGCATAGCTCCTACTCCTGTATAAGTTGGCTCTACTCTTAAAGTACTGCTTGATACTTGCATATTATTTCAAAAAGAAGCTGATATTTCAATTGAATAAAGCATAATCATTTTACAAAAACAAGCATTTTTAATTATCTACTACAAATAGAGGTCATACGCCTCCACTCCACACAACAGTTAACATTCAGTACATAAGCTAACAGAAACCGTTTTTGATAATTATTATTACAGGATAAAGATAATCATAGCTTACTAAGCTACATCTTCCACTCGCATTTACTAATCTAGTCTCTAAACATCTCTTCTCAAAGTAATGACAGCATCTTATAGTGCACCTTATGTAAACTTATTAATGTTAATCTTATGTTAAGTAGCTGGCTTATTTTATAGAATAATCTATAGTTACTATACTAACCAAACCAATCATCGGTAGTGATTATCAGCGGCAGGGAACTGCTGTTGCTGTTGTTGTTGCTGTTGCTACTGGTTTTATTATTGTTGTTGCTCCAGTTCCTTGCTGAGGCACGTTCTTTGGTGTTGCTTCTGCTGTTGATTTCAGACTTTGGCTTAGTTGTTGTTGTTGCTGTTGTCGTTGCTGATTGAAATTTGCGCTGTGCATTGCGCAGAAAGTTCAGCAAACGCACATCGATTGGCTGCGCACCTGCGTTAGTTTCTGCTGCTGCTGCAGCCGTGTGCTTGCCTCTGCTAATGCTGTTGCTATTGCTGCTGGAGTTGCCAGAGCCAGCGGATGCATATTTGTCAGAAAAGTAGAACTCCTTGCGCTTTGGCGGTGCATAAGCGGCACTGAGGCTGCTGCACAGCTGCAGCGGACGGCGGCGCGCCTTGGCAATTAGCTGGCCACCGCTACTGACGGCGGTTGAGGTGGTGCTGCTGTGGGCTTCGCGGTGGCCCAGACTGCTGGCGCTGCGCGTCAAGCTCTGCTTGCACCAATAGACATCCTTGCTGCCAAAGTAATAGTAACGCCTGCGAGTATCCTGCGTGGCTGCCACGCCCCCACCTCGATGATGTCGACTGCAATTGGAGCGCGTGGATTTGGACTTGGCACTGTGACTGTTGTGGCTCTGGTGGGTAGCGCTGGTGGTTTGGCTGCCGCTGCTTGTCTGCGAGTTGTCGCTGTCGTTGCTCAAACTATGTCCCTTGGCGGTAGCAACAGCTGCTGCTGCTGTTGCTGCAGCTGCAACAGTTGCCGCTGTGGCGGCGCTCGTTTGCGTAGGCGTGAGATACGAATTGGATTGGATGAAGACGCCATCGCAGGTAATTTTTATAGTTGTCACCATGTTCCACGCGGCATTTCCTTTGCCCCTAACCACTCACTTTGCACATATACATGTGTTCGATATTAATTATTTATATGCATATGCATGAATGTGTGCTAAATATTATTTAATATATTATTTTTGCATTACAGCCAACGCACTATGGGTAAATGGTAACGTTGCAACGTTAACCAAACTTTTTTGGTGGCGCAACTTGGAATTGTCTAATTGCAAATATGAGAAGTTGAAGTGTTAAGAATGACCCAAATTATAATGTTACTAATTAAATTTTGTTTTTTCAAAATATTTATTGTTTAATATATTGCTGATTATAAATAGCTTTTGTAGCTCTTCTGCTTTAGGTTTCAACCTTAAAATGTTTATTAACAGCGAAATTCCTTTTTATGTAAATATGATTATATCGTTTTACATTTCGTAGTGCTATTTAAACTACAATTGCTAAATATATATTATTAACCATTTATCTAAAGCTTTTTGCCACGTTTAAGGAAACGTTATATACTCTAAATGCCTTAGCACAGACCATTGAACTCATCAAAATCATCATCATCATCATCATTATCGAGATCATTAACAACAATGGAGAGCGAAGCTTCTATAGAGACAAGCCCAAAAGAGCTCTCAGACCTGCCCCAGTTGAATCGAGGCTAATGCCTAAGGCAAACAAAGTGCACTGCGAAAATTGTATTTCTTTGTAATAATACTAATTAAACTTGGACTTTTTTCGATTTACAAAAGAGGGAACTAAAAAAAATCAATGGAACACCGAGGCAATAAAGGAGCTACAAATAATGATAATACCCGAGACGCCGACAGAGCAGACAACAAAATGCGCAAATTAAAAATATCTATGGAGAAAATCCAAACGAGCAAGCAAAAAAAAAAAAAAAAAAAAAAAAAGCGAAACAAAAACAACAGCAGCAGAAATTGTGCTCCATATTTGTCAACACTAGTTGAGATAAAAGGGGAGCAGGATGGGGGAGATTTTTATAGAGCAGTAATAAGAGTAATTGTAAAGTTGATTTTCTTTTTCGGAGGCAGTTTGCTATTTTAACTGTAATTGTACTTCAACAAAAAATGTCTACTTGGATATCACATAAATAATGTGTATTACATTTTTCTCATTAATAAATGATAGAAATGAAAATAGTTGAAATATCAATGTTCTATTTAAATGCCAAATCTCTTAAATATGGGTTGGGAGGGTATATTGTTTTAGTGATCATAAATGTATGAGATGACGATTATTAATAAAAAAATAAAGCCAAAATACCCAAACGAAGTATTTATAAATTTATACTGTAATATAATAATATATATATATTATAACTTCCATCTCTTATTTCATCATACTTGATTTCAATAAGATTTGTAGTGTGAATTATATTATCATTATAAAATTAATTCACATCTAGAATCAAACTTATTGAACTCTCTAATAGTGGATGTCAGGGCTTATAGTACCCGATCATGCCGCCTCTTGACTAAAGCTCTAATACTTATTGTCTACTTTGGTTTTGTTTTTCTAATTTTTGTTCAATGTTTATGGGATGGGAAACACGAAGCGTGAATTGAATGGAATTTGCGGGAATAACAACTAAATAAATATATATACATACATATGTTATATACCTATATATATTTACGCAGAGACGTGTATTTTGGGCGTGGGAATGCAGACAACGCCCATTGTTATAGCTTTTGTTTATATAGTACATACTGTATCTTAATCAAGTCAGTCACAAATACGCTGGGAAAGTCTGCAAATAACAAGCAGGTGAAATGTTTACAGTTATGTGCAAATCTCGACACACTCAAAGTGCAGCTAAAAGTGTTATACAGAAATGAAAAGAAGCTAAATACGAAAAGTTGCATAGTTCACGTTAATTGAGTGTGAATTAATGCATATTTTCATTGTTTGCTCTTTTATTTTTCAGCCAGAGAGCAGCTAAAATCAAAGGGGCAGAGTAAGGAAAGCGCAAAGCTTATAAGATTCAACTTTTAATATACGATTATTTTGAATATCAATATGAAGCCTGCAGACCTACTAATCTACACGGGCATGAATCTGATTCAAAAATCAACGTGAACTAAAAGTCAACTCTAGAGTTTTGCTAGAGACCCTCTCTATATATATACCAAAGCTAGATTTAATTTCTGTTAGAGAGCTTTTCAACTCTAACATTTTTCAAGAAACTTAAGAACGATTGTCAATCGAGAGGGAATAATTAACTATGGAAATGAGTTGAAACCCAAAAGAATTGAGCACGTGGAAAGCGATTGCTTATCGAGAGACGGGAATTCTCTTTGGACAGGAAATAGACGACATAGAAGAAGTAGAAGAAACAGCCGAAAGAAGAATTTCAAAAAAAGAAGCTAATTGAAAAAAAAAAAAAAAAAAAAAAAAAAAAAAAAACGGAAAAGCAACAACAACAGAAATATGAGACAACAAGTTTTTGTTGTCGCCTTACCATAATGTAAAATGAAAAGCGAAATTAAAATAAAAGCAAACTAACAAAAATAGAAAAAGAAAAAAACAAACAAAACCTGAACTTGACTAAACAACAAAGTGGGCAATAATATAAAACAATAAGGCCATAAAAACACACACAAAGCAACAAGAAACAGAAAAACAATGGGGATATCCTCAAGCTAACTTCAAATTATTAGATTTTATTATTTTTTGTTGATGTTGTTGTTGGATAGCCTGCAGAGCTACCTGTTGCATGAATATGAATACATATGTATATAGTATATACACACGTGTAAATATCTGCAATATGTCTAAGTGAAAGTTGCGTTTTTTGTTTATGTATTTCTTCTTACTTATGTAGCTCTTCGTACATTGTACGTTTTGTAGGGCGTTGCAGTTAAGATTAATTAAGTATTGAAAAATGTACAATTAATTTGTTGGCTGACACGCATTAAACATAAACGTGTGGAAAATGTGAAAACTACAGAAAGAAAACCTATTACAACATTCCAATACACTAAAGAGCTCATCATGGTAGATATAACATATAAGATAGAAATGAGTTCCGATTCGAATTTATGTAAGAGGCAGAAGGCTTTTCATACTCAATGATTCGATGCATCAATCATCATGAATCCCGAAATCTATTAGAGCCAACGATATGACGCATTTTTCAATCCATCAATACTTTTTTTAAATAAAATAAAATCTTATTTTTAAATTCAGCACGTTTATATATATTATTATGTTTTCATTAAAATATAATGAAAAATTTTTTGAGTAACTCAGTACAAATTTTAACTAAATGCAAATGCCCCATTAACAGTACACTATACAAAGAGTGTAGAAGGTAAAAGCAAAAAAACTAAAAAATAAACGAACATTAAAAATAGAGGTGAAAAAATAAAATGAAATGCAATTGGAAAATGAAATGCGCCATTGGCTGTTGGGGCTATGGGTTATTTGTGGGGATCGGTTTCGTTTGAATCGCTTTTTATTCATTTATTATTTTTTTAATTTTTGTTTTAGTCTTTTGCGTCGTGTGCAGTGAATGGCAAATTGCCTAACTAGTAGAAAATATGTGCATAAGAAACTAACAAAAACCAAAACATATAAAATTGACCAAAAAAGTTAAAGGACTGCTCGACTAGGAGATACCCTGAGACACGTGATGGCTCTGCTTCTTCTTCTTTATAAAATCAATAGACGTTTATATACATATGTCTATATGTATTAATGTATTTGAACTAGTTTACTTCAGACTAAGTCGAGATAAAAATTGAATATTTTATATATTAATTTATATATGTAATAAAATTTAATAAATATGGGAGAACATTTCGATGATTAAAGCAAACATCAAATCTTGCTCTTATTGGGTCAAGCTTTTGACCACTCTTAATACAGCTCGTTACATACAATTCATGAAAACTAATATACCCCGTTCACACATAAACAATATGTTTGGAGTTTAGCAAATACATTAAAATTGAATTCACGCGTCTGCAGTGATGTTGTTGTTGTTGATGTCTTGTCCACTTTCACTTGGCAAGAGCAACTCTCTCAGGATGATGACGTTTCATGTGGATTTGCCACATGAAAATTGGTAAGGAGCAAAGCTAAAGAGGGGAGTGAACAAAGTGAGATAGAGAGAGACAGATACTTCGAGAGACGGGAAAACTAGTTACAGTTTAAGGCGAGACGGTGACTAATGCGCTGGAAAATTGAAAATAACTTTTCGCCAACGTTCAACGTTCAACGAGCCTCGGGCCCACGAACATTTTGTCAAATACTCTCTTGCCTCTGATCTCGAGTGCCAGCACGTCGCCAAAATTAGCGTGGAAATCAATTGCGAAAAGCTAATGATTCATGCAATTGGAATAAGTTGTAACTGGGATTAACTATGGAGTAACGGGGGAGATAAACAAATTGCTAATGTATATATGTATAACATGTTTGCTCTTTACATACATATGTATATATAAACATATAAAACATTAATTCTTCGTATATAACAGTAGTTCATACATTTTCTATAAGATATTTCCTTACTAAAGAAAAAACTAAAATAGCTTTGCCAAATATTGTGAAAAATATATGGATCCGGTCAAAGACAGAGAGAGATTTATATAATGGTCATAAATGACATTGAACAGATGTCAATCAATTTTTCTGTTAATATGCAATAGGTATAATTAAACAACAAATCGAAAGAAAGCCTTTTAAACAAAAGCTTATTGCGCCACCAACAAAACTTGGATAAATTTCAATTCAAACACTCAGCAAAAACTAAATACATTATATATACACACTATATTGCATATATAATAACAACACGTTTCAGAGTCAAGGGTTTTGTTATTATTATTATTTTTTTTTACTTTTAGCGATTTTGTAATTTGCATATGGAAAGAGTTTAATCTTTCCTCGGGGCAAACAAATAAATACATAAAATGCCAAAAATAAAACTATTTTTGCCTGCATTTAATTAATTATTACAAATTTTTAAAAGATATTTGTTACACAATCATGTTTTGCATTATTAGGCATTTCTACACACTGCCGTTAAGTTTAATTAATTGTTGCTAGTTGTTGCAAA